GGCTTTGGAGGATACAGTTGTCATTGAGGGTCTCCTCCCTCCCCGTGTCCTGTGGCCCCTGGGAGTGGAAGCATCAGGGCTGCGGGTGTCATCGGGGTGGATGGGATTCTGGGAGGAGGTCCTCCCCAGGCACGAAGCTAGGTGCTCCATCACAGCACACGGGGAGGCAAACATGGTCTTGTGTTGTTTGGCCTGCTGCTCGCTTTGGAGGATACAGTTGTCATTGAGGGTCTCCTCCCTCCCCGTGTCCTGTGGCCCCTGGGAGTGGAAGCATCAGGGCTGCGGGTGTCATCGGGGTGGATGGGATTCTGGGAGGAGGTCCTCCCCAGGCACGAAGCTAGGTGCTCCATCACAGCACACGGGGAGGCAAACATGGTCTTGTGTTGTTTGGCCTGCTGCTCACAGGCAGCTCTTCACTCCTGGCATTCCACAACCCAGTCCAGATGCTCTGCCTGCTTCTCCTCCATGAGGGAGCTCATGCAGTCTATCTGCTCCCAGAACATGTCCTCCCTTGTCTGCTTTTGCTTGTGGAAAGGGAAGAAGGACAATCCAAGAAACTACAGACCAGCCTCACCTCAGTCCCTGGGAAAATCATGGCGGGGATCCTTAAGGAATGCACTTTGACTTCATGCGCTTTCTCACTCCCAGGGGAATCAGGGTCTGTGGACAGGGGAGCAAAGGAAGTGTCCTGACCCCACCCCTTATGCCCAAAGCCTCGCCCCAGGGCGCTACAAAAATTTGTGAAGTGGCCCCTCTTCTAAAATTATTGCTCACCCCTGGTGTACAGAAAAAGGATGTTAGATATCGGGTACGTAACTGAATAGTCATTTAACAGCATGAATTCTTATCAGTTACATGTCTATTCGATAGTTCCTGAGGTCAGGGCCGGCAGCCAGTGCACTGATAGAGAGGCAGCGGCGTGGGGTGCCAGGCGGGAGCTGGTCCGCAAGCAGAGTTCATTTAAAAGCCAGCTCCCCATGCAGACCGGTTGCCTGCCACTGCACTTCTTTGAGTCGCCATTGGGGATAAGACAGTGACAATCCTTCACAATGAAAAGAGGGTAAACAAATCTGGAATCCTGATGATAAATTCCTTTCTTTAAAACCAGGCAGAATTAGTAGATATTTGAACTCATTTGTAGGATTAAAGAACCGGAAAGCGCACATGTGGATTTGTCTAGTCAAATATTCCAGGTTTGCCCGCGGGTGGGATCTTTTGAACATGGCCTCCACTGGGAACGCACTCCACAACGGTGAGGCATCTCCCAGGCAGGGTGAGCGCTGAAACACGCAAGCAGACGGGCTGGCTGGAACAGACGGGTACAGGGTGTCGACATTTCTAGACCCCAGGGAGGAGGTGCCAGGAGCACCGGGGCATTGTGGGAAGTGTTGTCTGCTTAGCCTTGTGGGCAGAGCTTGAGTGGTGCTGACTGGCTCACACTGACCATGTTTGCGTCTGGCACCGCAGCTTATGGCTTAATCTTTGTATTCATGCCCGTCAGTGTGTAAGAAGCTGTTTGCATATATATTTGCATGTATATGCAACCACTCTTAAGTTGCAGCCCTCGGCATGTACTGAGAGTATCATTGTGGTTCCCAGGGCTTCCAAAGTTGAGGAGCCCGGCTCTACAAGCTGCTCCTTGTCATTAGGGTTGCCAGATGGTCTCCCAAAAAATACTGAACACATGGGCTGAAAATTTGTTGAGAACCCCCCCACACACACCGAACACGCACCCTGTGTGGCTACTACCAAGAGCCACCAAACTGGGAACAAAGGGGGAGGCAGCAGAGCCTGCTCTGCTACCCAAAGCAAAGAGAGGCAGACACAATGGCAGGGCGGGGGAGGTGGGGGCAACCATGGGTAGGAAGGTGACTCCCCCATAGCTAGGTCTTTGGATGTCCCAGTGGGAAGAAGTAGAAATTCCACCCCAGTCAGTTTTGGCTGAGAGCCCATGGAAGGCCCCTAAATGCAACTACAAAGCACCTGTGGGCTTCTCTCCTGGACTACGGTGCCACAACCCGCTTGAACAGCGCTCAGGAGCGGGGACAGGGCTTCTCCTCCTCCCTAAGCCGTCACTTCTCCTCAGATGCAATCAGCCGAGGGCTCCCAGCACCGATTGCACCCCTCCTCCCAGGCACTTCCCCCGCCCGGCTTCTGCAGGCAACCAGAGGCTCCCAGCGCTGATCGTGGTCCCGCCTCCCAACCTAG